AATGTTTACGAGAAATTAACAAACAACAGATACGCAACAATACACCATTTTAAATTACGGATTTATCCGCACAATCGTTATGTTAGTTTTACATCTTTTTATTTACAAACTCGCCATTAACATTTACTAGGTGGCTCGTGTGATGCCCGTTTGCCAATTGAAATTGAAAGACGGTTTGTTTGTTCATATGTGCAAAGCTGCACGATGGGCTATCTGAGCTGTGCCCAACTATGAGTATCGAGACCCAGTTTACAGTAGTGTGACCGCTCGGACTTTCCGCTGAGCAGCTACAGGAGATGGGAAGGCGGAAAGACGGAAGCAATAATATCCATGAATGAAAACAAATACAGAAACAAAATTATTTTCATTAAACGAAATAAGCGTTACTAAATTGGTTTAAAAACTACAAAAACAGCACTAATATTACCATAATATCACTCGTAATTTACGAACAAGACATAGCTAGAATTAGTATAGATTTGTTTCTTTACATCATACGCATGCGCATTTTTGCCAAAGTGATGGGATTTGAACAAGATGGAACCATACCGCCTTTTGAAATTTACTGATAGGCTTTAATTTTGGCAGTATTAGTTAAACTTATTGTGAATATTACTAGGGATTAGTAATGCTACATTCATATATGTTCTAACGTATATTTTGACAGGTGTATTTTTTCGGTAGTAGAGTGGAAACGTAGCAAATCTGCGTAACGTAAGCCTAAGTTAGTACTAGGTATTTATAATCAAGAGTAACATTACTACTGTTATTAGGCTTAAGTCTGTTAATATTTTCATTATATTTTCAGGTATTGGTGCTTTTGATCTTTTTCCCACTTTGTGTGATCCTGTGATTCCATTTATTTTCTTTTTCTACATTATTCTATTTGTATTAAGTTACTCTATCTTATTCTGTTTAAAATTTAAATCTCTCTTATTTGCTTCATCCAGTTAATTTCTTAAACTTAAACTGGGTTAAGATTAAGTTTGCTTAGTTAGATCAGATGAGAAATAGTTCGGACCTTTCTCAGTTTCTGGCATTTTTTTTTTTTGAGACGAAAATCAGTTGAAGTAACCCCCTCCCATGTAATGTTTCTAGCAGTCTGAAACCACGACTGGGGTGAAGAGGGTTTGGGTGACCTCTCTGAGCACCTCTGGTTTGTTCATCTAAATGAAAAATAAAATACCTACTAGTACTGCTGAAAAAACGAGGCTTAAGCCTACTTATGTTTTTTTTCAGTCATTCAAGGTTCTCCTTTCATTCACACTCTTCACAAAAGTAAAAATACAAACCTGTCTTTAGGATATCATCGGCTCCGACTTTCTCTTAAGCTAAAACTTAAAGTAAGCTGTAAATTATTTGAATGTTAACCAAAAGCATAAGTTTTTGTGTAACATTGAAGTGTTTAAACTGTAATTGTAAAGTGTTGGCCTCCACTACTGCTGACAATTCATTCCAGTCTAAATGGTGTAGTGAACTTAAATGGCTTACAAAATTGCTTTATACCGATATGAGTGAGTATAAATTAAAAAATAATTAAGTTAACCCTTTCCATGTGGGTAGGGGTCGTGACATTTTGTCGACTGACATTCAAAACTTTATTAAGGTTCCATTTTATGAATGCATGTCCATACATTTGGAATCAAGTTGTAGTCTTATAGCTCAAGTTTTAGTACTATATATTATTTAATTTCTTAATTCAATAGAAAATATTAAAAGAAATAGCTAAATAATGATTTTTTGTGTCACATGGTACATAGTTTTCTTTTGCAAATGTGATTTAAAATATGTAGCAGGATTATCAGTTAGACACGATTCAAAGGTCAATGAAACAAATAAGTATAAATAATGTATACTTTTATGAGATTTGAGCTATTTAGAATAAACAGTTGTGGATTTCCTTTACAATTTGCAGTCATTCTAGAAAGAAAAAAATGTAATTTAGAATTATTCCTAATTTTTTTATGGTGTTTACAAACTAGGTCAAATCAACCAACCCCATATAGAGTTAGGGTAGAGAAAATAACAGATAAAATATAAAGTTGATCTAAAAAAAAAAGTCTGATATTTCTTTAGAAGGTTTTAGAGATCAAGCAAATGAAATTTGACAGTTTTCAGATTAAGAAAAGTATTTTTAATCATAAAATCTTTAATTAAAATACATAATTTTGTATATGAAAGCTTTGTAATGTTTACTGACAGACAGCAAAATTTCTTGAAGATATGCATACATTTTCAAAAGTTATAGTATGACTAATGGTTACTTTAGTGGTTATTTAGTAAGTGCAAGGCACCTAGCTCCATAGTCAAATAGTTAACCATTAAACTATTACTGTTCTGTACTGAGTAATCAATACTGCATTTCAACAAATAACATTAGTTACAGTTTTATCTACCACAGAACATCACATGATTGTTTGACTAAAACTAATTTGGCTGCAGCTAAACTATTATTCCCCCAGCTTTTTGTTTTAACACCAAAAATTGGCCATGGGGATACAATGTACCATTTGAAAAATAGGTGAACACTGCAGTAAGTTGAAATCTTTTGATAGATAATAAAGCTAAAAGTGTATGCAGTTGCAGTGTTTCAAGTGAGACCAAACTTTTGATTTACATATTTTCATTGCATTTATGATTATAATACATTTTTCAAGTTGAAATTACAACAAACTATTATTTAAATGTTATAGTTTATAAATCATATGAATAAACTTAATATGGTCAATCTGCAAAAAAAGTAAAGTAGTTGTAGTTGTAGCCATACATAATTGCATTGTGTTAGTTACGTCAAATTTAATTGTCATTGATTCTGTCATGTTTCCACCAAATAATTTTTACATAGCTATACTGCCTCCAGTTACAAAATTTAATTTCATTATCATGTTTGGTTTACATGTAGAAATGGAAAGCAATTGAATAGTAATTAATAACCTAAAATGTGTGCTTTAGATATGTTTTTTTTAATTAGTAAATAGTGAATTTTGGGTTAATCTGAGATATAGGTATGAGCTTAAAAAACTTGAGTCTGAGATTACATACAAAATTACAAGCATTCCCCCATTTGTAATACTGTAGTTGAGGGGAAAGAAAATCATTGTATTTCTCTCCTAAGAGTTCAGCTTTGTCATTATAGAAAACTTCTAATCTTTTGCAACTGAATACTTCACTTTAGTAAACCTGTTTTTAATTATTGTTTTTTGTGAAGGTATCTTCTTAAAAATTCAGTTTAAAATAGTCTTGTTCTGTATGGGGACATTGATTCCAATTTGACAGGGTAAAAGTCTGCAAATTAGCTAATTTAGTTTTTTGAACAGAGTGGTCATCCTATGAAATAGATGCCTTCATATGTGGTAGGCGCACAGGATTGGGAGAGTTAGAGATGGCTTGATGGATTTAATGAGACAACCACAATGGGCTGAATCTCCCCTTCTTCCCTCAAACATTATGTTAATAGTACACATCTAGTATCGGTATCCTAATACTACATTATTTCAGCAGGAAAAACCTTATTTTTGTACCTAGTCTAAATTACATTTTTGAAGAAATCTTTTTAAAATATTTTATAAGGTGATGTATCTAATTTAAAAAATTATACAACAAAGTTTTATGCTATGTTCAGTTGGTAAGAAACAAAAGTGATGGACCTTCTCACACACATACAAATGTTTGTAATTATATGTTTGTTTTTTTACTTCATTCTCACAATGTAAGTATAAGAGATGTGAAGTTTTTTGATAGCTTATAATATTCCCATTACTAGCTGAAACTAGAAAGTGAAAGTTTGTATCTACTGTCAAGCGTTAAGCTTTCAATTTTAAGGATTTAGTGTTGTTTAGGAAGAAGAAACATCAAGATTTAATTTTTATTATTGTGTTAAGATTCAGCTGAAGATTTAACACCTATTTTTAATGACCTATGCTGTTCTCCTTATATTACTAGTACTGGAAAAAATGTGTTACCTTTCAATTTAACCCATCAACTTAGTATTACTTTAAAGTTTGTTTTTCATCCTGAGGTATTTCCTTCATAGATAATGTGTGTGTGTCTATATATATTATAGAAATAAGTAAACAGCTTACCTGTTTGATTTTATACTTTTAAGGCAGAATTGTAAGATTACTTTTGTTCTGAAGTTTTAGATAAATGTTTTAAAGTGCATTTATTTTCATTTACTAAAAAATGCCTATACAAGGTCCTTCATAATTCTGACATGGTACTTCCCTCCATTTACAAGATTGGCTATTCTCTTTCAGTGATGCCCTCTGTATGCAAACTTTTTTTTTTATGCATGCCACAAGCTTTCTGTTCCGTCCTATTGGAATTGAATGATTCCAACATGTCTCTCATGTAAATCATGATGCTCAGATGTGTTCATTTTTGTTTGTTTAAAGTTTCATGTTTGTCTTTAGTATACTCATGAAGTGATCTTCGTTTATTTTCACTTCACTTTAATCCCAGTTTATTACAGTTGCATTGTTATTTATGCTTTTGGTTATTGGTTGACTCTTCCTCATTATTTGTGTTATACCCAGCAAGAAAAAAGAGCAGGGTAGCACACATGCAGCTTATTATCTTTAGGTCACATGCATAATACTTTACATGCATGTTTTTAAATAATATGTCAAAGCCTATTAGTGTAGCCTATAAAGTTTAGTATACTCTAATCCCTTTTAGTGATGGCACATCACGAGAGACAAATTTAGCATGTAATGCTGTTTGAATACAAGAAGAGAAACGATGCCTCTAAAGGCACAAATAATATCAAAGAAGTTTATGGAAATGTTTTGAACGGTCATAAGTTTCAACAATGGTTCAGCAAATTTCGTTCAGCCTTAAAAACTGTGATGGCAGGAGCTGACATGATGGAATTAATATTGATGCTCTGAAGACGCTTGTTGAGTCTAACCCAAGGCAACACACTCATGAAATGGCCCTGGAATTGCATGTCTCTCATGAAACAATAGGTAAACATCTAAGGAATATGGGAAAACTCCATAAAGAAGGTGTTTGGGTGCTTCACGAACTATATGATGATCATCATTTCTGATGTGTGAATGTTGCTTCATCTCTTCTGGCACGTTTGACACAACACAAGATTATGGAGTTGGGTTGGGAAGTTCTCCCCACCCACCATATTCTTCAGTTGGGGCACCGTCGGATTACTATCTTTTTCACTTGTTGCAACACCATCGTAGTAGGAAAATGTATGCAGATTTGGAAAGTGTTAAAGAGGACATTGACATGTTTTTTGCTTCCTAGGCAAGTGATTTCTTTAATCAGGACATTAACAACCTGAATGTAAGATGGAAAATCATCATCAATAAGAATGGAGACTATTTCATTAAATAAATGTTTTGTTTTGATATATAAGTTGTTCGGGTTTTTCATCTAAAAAAAGTGATGTAAATTTCATAACGACCTAATACATCAAAGTACAATACATCAGGACTTCTGTGCGACTTCTGCCTCAAAAAACTTATTTATTTTGTTAAACACTAAAATGTTAGTAGCTATAAAAGATAGTTCAAGTACAATCCTGCCAAAACAAAACAGCAACAAAAAATTTAAAAATAATAATTATAAATTACCTTGTTTTTCATTTGAGAAAGGATTGGATGCAGTGGTTTCATTTAGCAATCTTAGCCCTCTTATTTTCAAGCTGCTTTAACTTCTGTTTAAGAGATGGCATGATGCCTTATGAAACTAAGAAACAAAATGATATTGTCAAAGCA